ACAGATAAATGTGAGTGAAATACTGTAATAACAGGGACAGGGGCAGGTGGCAGCAGAAGCTGAGACTCCTCTGCAGTGAGCCCAGACTGAGCCCTCCCTCCACGCTGCTAAGCCCGCGTCCTCCCCCTGAAAGAACTACATGAAAGAACTTTCTGAGCAGCTAAAAAAAGACTGTGATCAAAGAGACCGGGATCTCTAACTTCTGAAATAGGATCCCGAATATAATGTAATCTTTTCTAAATGACTCAGTGACAGCATAATTATGAATATCCGTTATGGTGTCTCCTTGTTATTTTTCCTGCGTCATCCTTCAACGTCAAGTTCACTGTTAGCACTTCTTTTAATTGGAGCTGTAAGTATGAGAGACCATTTCCTGCCTAAGGCCAGAGGCACTCTCAAAGGTTTGTAAGCAGCTTTCTGAACTTAGAGGCTCACCCACTGCCCTCCACACCCCCAACCACCCCCGCCGGGTGGGGCTGGGTTTGTGAGAGAGAGGAGGCAAAGACTGGCCCGTAGCTTTCGAGGTATTTATTTTCCTTCTGGAAAATGTTCTCACTCTTCATTTTGAAAGAACCATCAATAGCATCATTATCCCATATTGTACAGGTCATAGTTAAGTTTCCTACTGCTATAAAATCTTTGTGTTTCTATGGATAAGTGGAAAAAGGTAATCCTAAAGAACAATGGACTTAAAGAGTGAGTCAGCATTCAATCCTAAACTCCCTCCCTCCCCTTTCTGAGCCGCCTCTCCTTTAAGTTGGGACCAGTCAGGCAAGAAATAAAACGGTACATTCTAAAGTCTTTTGGGGAAGAGCCTAGAGATGCCAGTACAAAAAGTTAGGAGGAAGGAGGAAGGAGGAAGGAAGGAAGGGGTAGAGGGAGGGAGCAAGGAAGGAGTGAGGAAAAAAGGAAGAATTCATTCTGCTCACTGTCCTTAAGTATCTAGACGAAGCTGGCATATCCTCCCCATGCCAATAGCTTCTGAACACCCTGAATGGACAATTTTCCTAAAATCCCACTATCCTCCCAATTTCTGGAATGTGGCCCTTGGAACGCTCTCCCACTGCCGTCCTGGCCTTTACCGTCTCCAAATTCAGAGCGTCACTGACCAGGAACCACTAACCAGTGAACTACCACCATGTTCTGTTCTGTTCTGTTCTCTGGCTTTAAGATCAGGTCCCCTAGGACCAGGGCCATGCTATCTACTCCCCACACCCCCACAGCACCCCAATCATCTTATTTCCAGGCTATAATAGAGGAGTTAATAAAATTTTGTGGCCTTGATCTTATCCTAATCTAATAATAGTCAACAAAACAACTGAAAGTGCAGATACATAGTTAATACTTTCTTAACACATAGAGCTTCCAGTGTTACAGATACACATAAGTGAGCATCTCAAATCATATGATTGCTGATAATATCAATATTAAATGTTCTATTCCCTTATTTATATAAATTCCCAAACAATTTTTTGGGCAACAAAACTGTAAGGAAAGAGTCACACGTCTGTGTGGACACTGGAAGTTACTATGAGTAATGCCTTCGATGTTACTCCTAAACAATGCTGCAGGGTACACAGAGCAGAGTCCTCCCAAGTGCAGTAATTTGAGAGTTCGGCCCCAAACAAGCGGCTGCAGTGCCTTGAAAGGTAAAATGATCTCTCATGTATGAGCCAAAGGAAAACAATGTTCCTTCCCTTAAACCCAAACTTCTAATGTGCGACAAGTACTGTCTCTAACAGGTGCGTGTCCTCTAGGCTCCTGTCCCTCGTTCGGAACCAGGTACTGAGCATCCAGGCTTAGGCATTGGTCCTCCAACCCCTCAAACTCGGGAACAGGGTGCAGACTGAGTAGCACAAGGAGAACTGCTCCACAGCCTAGAGCGCCTCACAGAACACACCTCGTGGGAACACACCTACTGAACCAGCTTAGACCTTGACCTAAATGACTGGTATCGGTGCTTAATCGCGCTTTAGTTTTCCTAGGTTTTGGTAGTTAGCAAAGTAAAATAAGCAAAGCTACTACCTTGCTGTAGCTCCCAGGGAATACACAGCCCAATCAACATTCATTTGGGATCATACAGTTTCATTCGAGAGTTATACATGTTCCATTATTTCTACATGATACCGAACCAAAAGAAAATGGTCTAAGAGTGCTATAAAAATATACCTGCCTCAACCTTAAAAATAAAAACTTCTAATTAAAAACATCTGTCAGAATAAAAACATCCTTGTACTTATCAGGATAAACTTTAGTTATCTGAAAAATAGATTTACACGCCATGTCTTAGTTTTGGCCAAATGAAGTGCCCTGTATTGCCTAGGACAGTGGTTGGCAAACTGTGGCTCGGCAAACAGAGGCTCGCGAGCCACATGCGGCTCTTCAGCCCCTTGACTGTGGCTCTTCCACAAAATACCAACTTCTGCGCATGGGCCACGAAGTTTCAATCGCACTGTACGTGCGTGCCCGCACGTGGTATTCTGTGGAAGAGCCACAGTCAAGGGGCCAAAGAGCCGCATGTGGCTCGAGAGCCGCGGTTTGCCGACCACGGGCCTAGGAGGCGAGTCAGGTGGAGCCCTCCACCCTCCCGAGGCGCAGAGGGTTGGAGGTAAACGTGACTGCCACCACCATTGTGGCACCTGCAGTCTGGGAAGACCGGGTACATGAGCCAAAGAAGGGTCTGAATGGCATGCTACCTACTTTTTCAATAGGTACTTTATCACAGTATCACCTTCCTAGAACATTTAGATTAGAAAATTAACACTGAGCAGACAGGATAATTCACACGGATCAGATTAAGCCAAGAAAAACTCAAGGCACCGCCTGCAGCAGCTCTGAAAGCCAACGGCAGGGAAACACTCACAGGCCTCTCTATCAGGTCGATGCACGGCTGCAGGTCGAGCCCGAAGTCGATGAAGTTCCACTCGATGCCCTCGCGCTGGTACTCCTCCTGCTCCAGGATGAACATGGTGTGGTTGAACAGCTGCTGCAGCTTCTCGTTCGTGTAGTTGATGCACAGCTGCTCGAAGGAGTTCAGCTGCCAAGGTTGAGAGAACGGGTTTCCAAACATGGGAAGGGGATAGAAAAGCAGAAATAGTAATCCAGTTATCAAACAATTCATTAAAGGTCAATTAGGTGTCAACTATGTTATTGCTTGTAGCTAATGATAGCGACTGAACTGAGGGGGGTCTCTCTCCATTTCTCTCTCTCTCTCTCTCTCTCTCTCTCTCTCACACACGAGGGGGTCTCTCTCCATCTCTCTCTCTCTCTCACACACACACACACACACACACTACATATATATACATTACTGAACTGCTACAATGAGAAAATAATAAACAGTATGCTAAGTGAATAATCTACAAATAAAACAAAGCTTATTAGTGAATGGTTAATGAATATAAATTATGAAATGAGAAAGAGAAGAAAAACAAAGAGACTTGGGGAAGCAAGCACCACTCCATAAACTCTGAGGGGTCTAGAGAATGGACGTGGTGCGGTCCCATCTACTCTTCACTCAGCTGCCAGCTCAGAGGGAGCTCAGAAAGACCTAATGTGTACTTCACAGGGATGTTGTTGAGATCCTAGCCAGGCCTCACGAGCAAAATGCACTCAACCCAGTGTGAGGCTCCAGGCTGCTTCCCTAGGAATCCCTTCTTATCAAGTGTCTGACCTTTGCCAATACTAAGAGTGACACTGCATTGCTCTCAGGAAGTGAACTTGAGCATCTTTGCATATGTTACAGACATTTGTTTCCTTCTCTGCGATCTCTGCCTGTTTTTCTATTTTGCTGTTGATGGGATGAATGACCAAATGGATGAATTAATAGGCACAATATTCTTAAAGCAATCACTTTCTATATTAGAGGCACTCAACCTTTTTTCCTGCCTTCACAAGTAGCAAGTGCCCATAAATAACCTTTTTCATTATAAAAAGTGATCCTCAAGTAGGGCAGGTACAATCAATCTCCGAGGAATAAATTTATAGTCTGAGAGACATTCTAGTCCCCCACCCCTTACGGAGGTGTTACACTCACCATTTTGGAATGAGGTCAGGCTAGGAAGGCAGGGGCAGTGTTTGCTTGCTCAAACACATTTCTAGTGAACCACATGAACATCTACAGACTGCTCGATGGTGCTTATTCATGTTTGTGTCAATGGCATTGCTCTGCCTTAGGATTATGAGACCTTTTTCTCTGTTTAGCCTTATTAGTATGTGTGGTGGTATTTTTTAAAAATAATTTTTTAATTTCTCTTCCATATTTAAGCTATCAACTATATGTTAAAATAATCAATTTTTACATTGGTAATTCATGGTATAAAATTAAAAATGTACAAAGAATTGCACTGTCTCATTCCCTAGAGTCAATTACTATCACTTATTTCTTGTGATCCTTCCAGAAATAGTCTGTGCACTTATAAACGTGTTGTCTTGTTTTGTTTTTTAACTCAACAATGTATTTGGAGTCTTTCCATATCAGTAAATGAAGCCACCCTACTCTTTATAATGGGTGCGTAAGCACTCCACTCTATTGGTATCTCAGATTAATTGAACCAATCTCCTAATGGTGGGCATTTAGCTTTTCCCATGATAAATAACGATTAATACCACCCTTGCATTTTTAGCATTACACATTTTTCTACTGTCCGTGTACTTACATGTATAGCTTTCTTTTACATCCTTTAATAGCCTTGTGAAGACTTATCCTCTACAGTACTACATTTTCCTATCCAAGAACAAGGTATGCTTTTTCAACTGTTCAAGTCTTCTATGTTTTCACAGTAGCCTTATAAAACTGTCTTCAACTTAATCTTGCCCATTTCTTCTTAAATTTATTCTTAGATATTTCATCTGCTTTTGTTGCAGTTGGAAATATAATTCTTTTCTTTTATTACATCTTCTGATTATTTATATATAGGGTGGCAAATGATTTTAAAAATGTAACTTTAAGCTACAGACATTTCTGTTTCCTCCTCTGTGAACTCTGCCCATTTACCTGGCCACCTTTCATGATTTCTCAAGTTATTTACAAATCAATGCACATTAAAGCAATTTCTTATTGTGGCAGTTGCAGTTGAGCAGGCAAAACAGCGTATACGGTACCAGTTCAGACTGCAGGGAAACAGATGTAATTTTAAAGTGGCCAAAGTAGCACACTGATCCCAAGAAGTACTTTATTATTTGTTTCTTACATATACACAGTCAGCCTATCAAAGGAGAGATAAAGATATAAATATTTAAGAGATCAAAATGTTATCAACTTTTTTTGCAGGCGTATAACTACAAACCTTTGATGGATTGATGTTGAATAAATGGAAAAATCTAGTCAGATCAAGAATAAAAGATATTGAAATCCATCATCAAATCCTATGGCTTTATCTTCAAAACAGAGATCATTATCTTTCCTCATTTCTCCATCTCACACTGCTTATTCCTGACTCCTGAGCCGGCCACCATCCCCTGGCCCCTGGGCCATGACAAAGGCCAGTGGCCTCACGGTCTCCCTACTTCTGCTTTTGCTCCACACCACACTCCAGTTCCTGTTGGGCAGCTACATCTAGTCACTCTGGCTTTCCAGCAATTTCTAATATTAACAAATCCCCTCCCATACAGGACTGCTGCCTGGAGAACTTACGGAGGCTGGGCTTCTCCCCCTTCATGTACCAGTAAGGTCAGCACTGCAGACACCTCCCAAGACTCAGCTGTCTAAAGCCGGCCTCCCCACTCTTCCATCACAGCAGCGCTCACAGTTCTGAGAATGTAGTGGCTCTTCCTCTTTTATGGTCTGACTCTCTACTAGAATGGCAGGGATTATCCCTGCTTCTCTACCACTACGTCCCCAGTGCCTAGCACAGCAGTGAGTGTACATTGTGAGCCTTCATTAATATCTGTTAAAAGAATAAGACGAGCCCGACCGGCGTGGATCAGTTGAGCATCGACCTATGAACCAGGAGGTCAGGGTTCGATTCCCAGTCAGGGCACATGCCCGGGTTGCAGGCTCGATCCCCAGTTGGGGGCGTGCAGGAGGCAGCCAATCAATGATTCTCTGTCATCACTGATGTTTCTATCCCTCTTATCCTCTCCCTTTCCCTCTCTGAAATCAATAAAAATAAAGAAAGAAAGAATAATTTGAAGGAAGAGAAGGAGGGAGAGACACACCTCAAAAATTTCAAATCCAGCAATGTCCAGGATTCCAATGAAAGATGCTCCCTGACGCTTGGTCCTATCCAGAGCTTTATTGATCCGGTGAACGAGCCAGCGAAAGAGCCGCTCGTAGGTAGCTTTTGCCAATGCTTCCACTGCAAAGTCCGCCTGTAATTACACAACACCATGCTTTATTCTGGGAATGATCTCAACAAGGCATTCATGGCTATTATATATAGTTCAATGTTCTACAAAAATCCTGAAATAGTATGTACTGCTTAGTCATGTCTCAAGTTTACACATCAACAAAGGGTGTTAGTACAATTAAATGTAAACTAGAGATAATCAATTTAAGGGAAGGGTGAAGATGGCCAGTAAAGAAGAACCCCTCCCAATGTCCCAGGGGTTCTGTGAGCCTATCTGCTCGGAGTCTGAAAGGAGTCCACCCTGAAACAGGGGAGTCCAACTCCTATATTCTTGGTGGGTGGGCTCTACAAGGACATAACTTTGTCCTGGATAATCTATCTACTGGGGAAAACTCAAATTTCCTTTTTAAAAAACTACACAAGAAAACCCCCACTCAATTAGTCCCAGGAAACATCCATATTATTGAGTTTATCTGACTTAGTTTGTCACACACCACTCAGAAGGTCTTATGACCACAATTTATCATTCAAACAAATGTAGAATAATTAATGGTAAATGTACTTGTTCTTTGGTCTGGGCTTTCTGCACGTAGTCTCGGCCGACCTTGATCCGGGGGGTAAGGATGGCCCGAGTGAACTCCATCACATTCATCCCAAGAAGATGGCACAGCTTCTGGGCAACTAGAGTGTAAAAAAAATCTTCTAAATAGTGGCCTCCTCCTTATGATCCAGTCACAATACATGCAATAAACACTGGAAAACCCCGAGTCATCATTAAATTGTATTAAGAAATAACAAGTTTTAGGTCTGATGGAAAACCCCTTCATCCCTTCAAATTAATATCACTCCTCCTGAGGTTATTTATAAGAGACGGCTAGCCAGCAATTACTTATTATGGCTAATAATGCAAGTTACTGAGTCTTGGAACCCATACACACAGAATGAGAAAAACAGTGCTGCCAAGATAACTGGCCGTGATCATGTAATGATCCTAATAATATTTTAATGGGCAAGAAATCTATAAGTTTAAAAAAAGTTATTTGATTACATGGCTAACATGAAACACTCAATACATAACTGCTACTTTTGTTATTGTTGATTCTCAGCAGCATTAGGGCACCTGCCTCACTAGAAGTTCATTGTCTAATATCCCCCAAGGTCCAACAAGTATACGAATTATTATAATTAATTTTGAACTGAGTGTTAAAAATAACAATAATATTCTCTAAGGGTAAGCACATTTTGAATTATGTTACAGGTATAACCTACCCAGGTCATTTCAAGACCTGCATCCTATCGCCCTAACCCAGGCCAATGGCTGGCTGCCTGCAGGAACCCTGTCTGCAGGGCGGGCCGTGCCTCGAGAGCACTTCCTGTGCTTTGGGGCTCTTCTCACTGGCTCTTACCAATGGCTCTGCCTCAGCTGCTAGGTCGTGGCTCCCTTTAGTTAATGAATGGATCATGAGTGTAGGTATTGGATAGGAAATTAGAAAATACAAAGAAGTACAAAAGGCAAATTACCCACATCCCTTTGCTTTGTACCATGACAAATATCATTTCAGCAGCTAAAATATATACTTCATAGTGGGGCTATATCTTGGTTTACTTCATTCCATTGGATATTTAAGGTAGCTCCCTTGTTGCCATTGCATACATCTTTCTGTGTAATAAGTGTTCTGTCTGTCTCTTATTCCCCTTCCTGAGACTACTTCAAAGAGCCAAGCTTAGTACAAAAGTTCCAGAAGTAAAATAAAACACAGTAATTAATTAAAGCTAGGGAATAGGAAACTTACTGGCCATCTAGCCATGGCAAGTACAACTTTGGTTTTATGATGTTACGGTAAAGAAATGTGGCTAAATGTTTAAACAGACCTATTAGAACTCATCTATCTTATGGAGAGCTGGCACCTTGGGTGGCAAACACTCACTACAGGGCTGAGTGCTGCTCAAGGAAGAATAAAACAGAAACAGGTGAGACTGACTTCCGACAGAGGTAGGTGGAAACAGGGCAGAAAGAATGGGGGAAGGGAACAGAGTGGAAGAGATGGGGGTGGGTGTGAACAAAATCAGAGAAGTACACATTTTTCTGTAGTTTTGACTTTTAGAATTATTTATATGTTGCATATACTAAAATATAAGCAAAAAGGGTTAATGGGGGGGGGGCAAAATGCAATACAAACAGAAATAAATGAAGCTACCTACATTACAAATGAACGCGTAGCCACTCGAAGGCAGAAGGAGGGAAGAGTAAAACAGTATTTTGACCCACCATCTGCTGATGGGCACTTAGGCTATTTCCAAATCTTCGCTATGGTAAATTGTGCTGCTATGAACACAGGGGTACATATATCCTTTCTGATTGGTGTTTCTAGTTTCTTGGGATATATTCCTAGAAGTGGGATCACTGGGTCAAATGGGAGTTCCATTTTTAGTTTTTTGAGGAAACTCCTTACTGTTCTCCACTGTGGTACATCTACACAATGGAATACTACGCTGCGGTAAAAAAGAAGGAATTCTTACCATTTGCAACAGCATGGATGGAACTGGAGAGCATTATGCTAAGTGAAATAAGCCAGTCAGAGAAAGATAAATATCACATGATCTCACTCATTTGTGGAATATAATGAACCTAATAAAGTATAAGCAGTCATCAAGCATAAAAAGTTGGTTAAAAGTACAGGGTATAAACTGCTGAACAAAAACAGATCCAGAAACTGAGAAGCATTGACCAGATGTTCAAATCTCAGAGGGAAAGTAGGGGAGGATGGGAGCAAGGGGGAGAGATTAACCAAAGGACATGTATGCATGCATGTAAACATAACCAATGGACACAGACACCAGGGGGTGAGGGCATGAGCAGGAAGAGGGGCAATGGGGGGATATGGACACATATGTAATACCTTAATCAATAAAGAAAAAAACAACACAAACAAACAAACAAACTAACACCTACAGTATTTTGACTCTATACCAGGGGTGGGCAAACTTTTTGACTCGAGGGCCACAATGGGTTCTTAAACTGGACCGGAGGGCCGGAACAAAAGCATGGATGGAGTGTTTGTGTGAACTAATATAAATTCAAAGTAAACAACATTACATAAAAGGGTACGGTCTTTTTGTTTTTTAGTTTTATTCATTTCAAACAGGCCGGATCCGGCCCTCGGGCCGTAGTTTGCCCACGGCTGCTACTCTAATGCTAAAGAACCGTACACAAAGAGTGTTTACTAATTAGCAGATTTGTTTTCCGGAGGAGTACAGGTGAGTAATTCTGAAGCTCTTTTATGGGTATTCTAGGATCGAACAAATAAACAAATATACTGTAGATAAGACTTCTTACTGTCAGAGAAAGGAGTTTCAAATAAAGAAAAGGAAATGGCTAGCATAAAACCTGTAGTGTCGGATCAAAATTAGAGTATCAGTATAAATCCATGGTTTTTAATATACATACAAAGAAATGAAAATAGGAGTGAGTACACGTGTGTGCATGTTCCCTTGCTCTGTCCTCTGAGAGAAGTCAGAAACAAATGAAACCCTGGAACAACCAGGTATTGGCAGCTAAATCCCATTCTCCAATATGAAGAAATGGTAGTGAAACGGCCAATTCCAGGGCCCGGGCTGGACAAATACAAAATGAGTCTGGAACATTTTGCGTTGCAAACAAACAAACAAAAACCCACAGTATTTTGACTCTATACTCTAATGCTAAAGAACCGTACACAAATACTATTAGTAGGTTTGTTTTCCGGAGGAGTACAAGTGAGTAATTCTGAAGCTCTTTTATGGGTATTCTAGGATCGAACAAATAAACAAATATACTGTAGATAAGACTTCTTACTGTCAGAGAAAGGAGTTTCAAATAAAGAAAAGGAAATGGCTAGCATAAAACCTGTAGTGTCGGATCAAAATTGGAGGTATCAGTATAAATTCATGGTTTTGAATATACAAACAAAGAAATGAAAATAGGAGTGAGTACATGTGTGTGCATGTTCCCTTGCTCTGTCCTCTGAGAGAAGTCAGAAACCAATGAGACCCTAGAACAACCAGGTATTGGCAGCTAAATCCCATTCTTCAATATGAAGAAACGGTAGCGAAACGGCCAATTCCAGGGCCGGGGTTGGACAAATACAAAATGAGTCTGGAACATTTTGCGTTGCCATAAAGTAAGAAATTGCTTTAAAATAAAAGTGACAGAGTCATGTCAGAGTGACCTGAGCACTAGCCTGAAGGGGCTCCAACTCCTCATGGCCACATCCAGGACAGGAATAAATAAATAATTATGGAATGGATCATAAACCATACAATTATTTAAAGAAGGGCCCATGTGTCTATACTGATAGGAATGAAAAAGCGAAAGCTCTTTGTTACAGTAGAATTCCAGGGAGTAAATATAAAAGAACGATGTAGACAGAAGTCACCACTTGACATACACCACAAGCAAGACTCATTTCAGGTAAGAATCATAAACGGATGCTACAACTAGTAGCCCAAGAGCCTGATGAGAGCCTGGACTTACTTCCTTAGTCTCAGTGTCTCCCTCCTCTCCCAGATACTTGTTCCAAAGGCAGAAGGTAATCAGGTAGTGGAGAAACCCGGTAGACACTTCCTTAACCAAGTTAACCTCACCAACGAGACAAACTCACATAGGCCTGCCGATATGATGCACGAGAAGGCCACACCACTTCTGTGATGTTCTTACCAAAAACGGGTAACCTGAATTTAATCAGGAGGAAACCTCAGACAAACCCAAATGGAGGGACATTTTCCAGAACAACCGGCCAGCATTCTTCTTCAAAAGTCAAGGCCACGAAAGACAGAGACTGGGCCTATGTTCCTGGTAAGGTCAACACTGGTAGGTCTCAGTAGCTGCAGCTCCCTTTCCGATGAGCTGTGTGGTCTCTGCAGCTTAGGTCTCCGCATGCCCCCATCCCCAGGGCCTCCCCAGGCCACGGCGGGGTCTCCAGTGCTGCCTTGTGTGCTACACACATCTCTTCCCTCAGGTGACACCAGAGTGGCCCTCACGCGTTCTGCTCCTGAGTCTGTGGCACTGCGTCGGGAGTGTTTTCTATGCCTGCGCTAACATGTTCTTGGAGAGCACAACCAACGACCACTTAAATGGAAATAAAATCAGCATCGTCAGTTACCTGTATTTTCCGGCATGGAAGCTTGATCAGTGTTTCGCTCCTTTTTGAAAGAAATGTTTCCAAACTGAAGCACTGAAGACACTACTTTAAGCATAGCTTTATTAAAGAGAAAAAAATTAATAAGAATATTGCATCGACATAGAGCAGAGATATATTCTAATTTATTTTGACTAAAAATTAGCTGGACAAAACTTTTCAGGATCTCTCTCAGGATGTCATAAAATTACAGGCAGTTCTCAGTTCCTCGATCATTTTCTAGTTTAGGCTATTGACCCCCAACGTGTGTCTTATTTAAATGAGTATCAGAATCTTAGAGAAATCCCACATACACAGAATCTCTTCATGGGAGAAGCCCATTATATGCATCGCTTCCATCGTCTCCTGGAAGTTATCTTTGTCTTGCTGTCCCGGAATGGGAATATAACCGTTGGAGAGGAATCTGTAGTTGTTAAATCCTTCAAGCAGCAAGTCAGCTACAAGAAAACAGAACGGAATGCCTTCAAGCAACACTCCTCAGCAGACTGAGCATGCCCACATCCAGGCGGCACGGACGCCCCAGGAGGCCAGCGGTTCCCCACATACTTCTCACCCCCACACTTTCTCTTTCTTTATATGTTCATGCTAAATACACAAACACATACAGTTTCCCATCGTCTGCAACCAGGAAGGAAAATGATAATGTAAACTGCACAAATCTCAACGGGCGTTGGGGACAGTGGTTTATACAATATTTTAAATCGGATCGTGGGAAAATAATGTAACTTTTCCAGAGAACTAAAACCTTATTGTTTTCAGATTTAAATATTTTAGAAAGCTTTTAAACCCATCTTCTATTCCTTTCTTAGCAAGGAGTTTATAGCAAACACTATGGGGTCAATATGAAGACAAAGTGGACCTAAGATAAACACCCAGATGTAGAAGGTGTGCGCTCAGCCCAGCCACCCCGAAACCTCTCTCCAAGGCAGTCTATTTAGTGGTAAATGTGCTTTTGAGAGTGATGTGCAACATAAAACATTATGACAGAATATTATAATGGATAATACCCCCACTGCCTACTTGTACTTTAGGGGCCGTGAGTTACCCAAACAGGTAAAGATAGACTAATTTAACAGTATTCACCTAAAGGTCCTTGTGATTCAAGAAAAACCCACCATAGGCTTTTCCCAGGACTAGTGGAAATGTAACATATATATTTAGTTGTTAATCTAGAAATAAAAATGTTTGTCCATTAATTTTATTAAGTAAGTTTATTTTTTCTTACTTGTATATTTATAAATGTTGAAACAAAACTTTATAAAAACACACCATTTGCCTTCTAATTTAAAAAAAGAAATAGAGATAATATAACACCACCCATGTACCTACCACTTAAAAGTATTTATCCCATTGGCATGGAAATTCCTTTTCACTTTCATCATCTGACCAGCTAGAGTTTTGTAACTTACACTTTAGGTGTTCTCCTGCTCCAGATAGCAGCTGGTAAAAGATATGAAAAGTACGCTCATCTTTTGCTTGGCGAACAGCACGAGATTTTTCCAGAAGGTCTGAGCAAAGACGGTTAAGGATTAAGTTGGTCCTTTTTCCATGTCTATTTAATTATAAAACATTTTTTCTCTCTGATATAGGTCAGGTATACTGCTATTAACGACTCTAAATGGTTAAACTTTGTAAGTGAGAAAAGAAAATGTATGCAATTTATGTTTCCCACTAATCTGCTAGATCCACTGGGCTAGTAGGGAACTTAAAACCTCGGAGTGCTTTCCTCACGCCCCCCACCCCACCCCTTCTTAACTTGGATTATATTCAAAGAATACAGCACTATACGAAGAACTGTATTTCTATCACTGGAGATTATTCTAACAAGAATCAGAGAACTGTCATCTGTAACCTTCCTAACTGGCACACTACCAGTTCAGAAACACTTCTATTTTATTATCTGTACCCAAATTAATTCCATACAGACCTACCATTTCTTAGGACTAGTGTATGTATTTGACATTTTCCTCTAGTTTTGTTCTGCTTAACGCTAACTGAAACGGCTTTAACTGTACTTTTATGAGGATTGTTTCAATGGGTACACGCCCATCCTACGAATGGCAGAAATAGGTGGTAAAAAATAAATAAGCTAACACAACCATAACTGAAGAGTAGTTCAATTTAACAGTATTCACCTAAAGGTCCTTACACCACACAAACATT